CAGGTCGATGTACCCGCAGCCGCCGCCCCCCAGCCCGCTGTTGAACTCGGGCCCGTACTCGCGCGGGAAGTCGCCCGGCGACGAGCTCTCCCGCACCAGGCACTCCTCTATGGATTCTACCACAAACCACTCCTATCAAACATCTTGGCGACAAAATTAACCAGACAATATGACTTTCGATTAGCGATATCACTAGAAAAATCTATAAAATGTGCAAGAATAAATATGTCACAAGCACGTGACATATTCAAAGTTATTGTCAGTTACATCCATTTTTGAATTATCAATCTTCAATAGCAATAATCGAATTTAATATTGTTTAGAGGTCTGTGAAGAATGGACTATGAACACATAAAAGTAATCCAACTACATCCGCTAATTTCTGACAATTATAAACTGCTCCTGTGCAAGCAAAACTTTAACTATTTGGCACAAAATAGATTTAAAACTATGGCAATTGACTGAACTGAATATGTGTAACGGATTTAAGAGAATAGAGGTCTATAAAAAATTAGATTTGAGCATAAAACGTTAACATCCAATACTTTTTACGTCGCTATCCTCATCCAGCTGTCTGCACTATTATTTTCAACTACATGTTCCCGTGCGGTTTCATCCGCATGAAATTATAAAAACTTTATTTTGTTGTTTTCATTTGTTAAATTTAAATTGCAAATGGCAAAATCAATAACCTTACTTCCTTAATGTTGGCAGCTTGTAGTTTATGGTCTCTTTCCCTCATGAACATATTTTTCCAATTTATTTACCCCCTAAGTATAATAGCGTGAAAATATATAGCCTAAGGCGTGTCGTTAGTGTAGAACTTTTTATTAAAGAAAGAATTATTAAAAAATGTGCTGTGATTGCTGACATCTTACGCCACAAAGTAGTGTGTGTTTACGCTTTATTATATAAATATAGATTTTTTTTTTATAACAAAAGGTGGCAAACGAGCAAGCGCCCACCTGAACCCGCCAAAATGGCGAAGCGACCGCTGCCCATAGACATCCGCAATTG